CCTATCCCCTTCACTGTCATTGTTGTTGCGTTGGCACCATGCTTGTTTTCAGGCCGGTGGTAAATATATATATATATATATCTGTTAGCCAGCAAATGAGTTCAAATTCTGATCTTGTTATTCAGGTTAAATACTGCTAATTCCTTCGCTCTATCATTCCACCTTTTGCCTTTCAATGCCAGAAGTATGTAGGTAATCGGATTTGGCTCAAACATGGCGGTGTTATGCGGGGGAACCTTGGCCTCAGTGGAATTTAATCAGTGATCTTTTGAGAGCCTATAGAGTGGAGATACGAGTGTAATGACTCAAGCGAACATTCAGACCTGAGTATGGTAACCGATTTATCGATCCATCTTGATATAATTAGCTTCTTTACCCGGTCGACCGTGATGCCCAGTTCGGTCATTCACGTATAAAGCTCATCCGATCAGCCGTCAATAACAAAACGTTCCCGAGGTGAAAGACGAATAGTCGTCATTCCTCACCCCAGCGAAACGTTCATCTTCGCTTGTTAATTCATTCGAAAAGTACTTTTGTTTGTCAATAAAGAAATCCATTCATCCGACTGGCCGGGGTGTTCGTTTCCCAGGTCCTATCGATGATGTGTTTCGCTCAATCACGAATAGCTTTATGAGGTTCTGTACCTTTCCAAGTTCAAGTGAAGCTTTGCTACATCCAGATCCCGTAACAAATTTCATCACGGCGAGGAAGAACCACATTTCAGCAGGATAACATGAATTGAGTTATTTCGCCTTCTCTCAATCAGCTGCATACGTTCAATGACAATCAGGGTTAAACGACATCGACATTGATATAGTGTGCCAAGATGATCATGCAGTGAACTTTCCACCAAATCTGCCTAAATCTTTACTTTTCATGGGCACAAAAAAACGTACAGTTCTCGTTCAATGGAAAGTTATACAGACAGACAGTGTGGCAATGTGTAGCCCACGTTGACCTGTGCTAGCTGATATATTTATGGGACATGTAGAGACCACCAAACTTCAGGAGTCCATTAAAAAAAACTCAGCTTTACACCTGATATGTTGTTGACGCATTCTTCGTTATTGACAACGTCGTTCAAGCAAATCAACTGTTGGAGGACATGAACAGCTGCCACGAGGATCTTGAGTTTACAATCGAGCACGGATCAGAAGACACTTTTCAATTCCTCCTTATACATCTAAAGAGTAAGGAAGATGGTACACTGAACCGCTCCGTGTTTCATAAGCCGACATGGACCGGTCAGTATTTGAACTTCGAAAGTTAATGTCGTATAACTTACAAGCGTGCCCTTGTTCGTACTCTATTCATACGAGCTCGTTGAATTTGTACAGAAGAGTCCTTGGACAGCAATCTTCTTTCACTTCAGTCGACTCTACCCCAAAATGGATGCCCTTTAAAGTTCATCAAAATGTACACGGAAGACATGACAGTTAAACAGAAAATACTCAATGCCCCCAAAAAGATGGTTTACTTGACCATCTCATTCAAAGCAGACGAAAACGACAGACGTCTCCAGCGACGCATAAAACAAATAACCCATACAATATTTCATGCAGTCTCACTAAACATTCTGCATAAAACCAAGTGTCTTCTCGTGGAATCAAATTTGGACAAGCCTGATCCTCAAGTTACCTCCTCTTGTATTTATGTATTCGAGTGTACTTGCGGTAGCAAGTACGTTGGACGAACTGAGAGAAGGCTATCCGTAAGGATTTCCGAACACATCCCGAAGAATCTAGCGCTGAAAGGAAATAAAGTTTTTAAAAGCTCTATTGCTCGCCACATATTAGACTGCAACTTGTGTGTGGAGCTCAGCAAGTCTTTTAGGATCATAAATAGACAACAATACCATCGTTTACTTCGGTTTGCTGGAGCCTCCACCATTCGATGGCTTAAACCTAATTTGTGTAAGCAATTAGACTTTGTGGCCAGTCTTCCTCTGCCCTGGTAGGACTGATTCCCGTCATGTGTTCATTTGCCGTGGTTGACTGTGACCTTTGTCCCTGTCCTGTGCTTGACCCCCGGTGGTGTGTTCCTTTGTCCCATAACCTATTATATCTTTGTTGTTGTTTAACCTTGATTGTCATTGTACGTATGCAGCTGATTGAGAGTTCTCGGAATAACTGAATTCATGCTATCCTGCTGATATGTGATTCTTCCTCACCGTGATGATGTGAATCGAAACAAAAGTATTTTCTGAGTGAGTTACCCTGCGGGATTGAAGGTTTTGGCGGGAGCTGTTAGGGTTTGACCATTCGTCCGTTCTCTTCCCCTCTCTTGGAAAGCCTTATATGCTTGGGCACTGATCGAATGAGTTTCATAGACGAGAATGAACTAACACGACAATAACTGACCTCGATCGATCATATGGACAAGTGTGCTGTGACAAGTTGGATCGATAATACGATGACTAAAAATAACTGTGCATGTGGCCATGAACTATTGCATGGGCTGGTTCAACCTATACCCTCGGATACATAGAGAGTGAAATTCCATTGAGGTTAGGTTTCCCTCAGAACTTGATCACTTTGGGGGCGCGAATACATTTGGATAATTTTTAGCATTAAAAGGTACAAAAGCTTAACAGTGATTGTTGACTTGTTGAAGTAAGAGATAGCAGTGACCAAGGCTATCCGCTCAGTTACGGCCTAACATAAATTAGATTTCCTTCGGCGAATCCCGGACTTATTACACTGTATTGTGCTTACAAGACAAGAGGCAGCCGCTCTGACACCTAGGGGCTGGCAACGAATGTCAGTAAAACTGATCCGGCCAAGTTATCTATCATATTCAGTGCTCGCTTGAGAGGAAGCCGATGGTGCGAATATCGCAGTTATCTTTAACCTCGAATCACTCACCACACAGATCAAGGATGATTTCTCTTTCGGCAGCAAGGAAAATAAATCCAACTGTTGGTGACTATTTTAAATAAACTGCGATAGACCACAGTGGTTGATAGTTTGTATCATTTTCACCCCAAAGAGAAGCAAAAAATGGAACCAAGCAACCCGGTTTGCTCATTTTAGCACTTTAAAAACTGCCCGCTTTGACTTTCACCATGTGCCCTTGAAAAACACTTCCATGCATGTAATCATTCACAAACGCAAACTGGAACATCAGCCTACGGTAATTGCGAATGTGCTCCAAATTCAACGAAGTTATTTATTTACCGGCATGTTGAGTTCAACAATGTCAAAACTTTTAGACTTACATCTCAGAGTTGTAGAAACGTACACTCTACCAGATTGGTCAACAAGCTGTCTTAGCCAGGACCCTTGAAACCTTCCATTTAGATGTATGCCGTGTCTCTGAAACACGCATACAAGACCCTACTTCAATCATCTCCCTCCGTTCTCCAGATCCAACCTCATCCCCCGCTTCACTCTCCATGTGTCAGGCGATCTGGAATCCGAATCTCGTGGTGTTGTTGATGTTGGGATTGCGCTAGGTGTCAAGAATGAGCGTTCATTTCTCGACTGGATCCCGGTTAGCAACCGACTTTGCGCTGTACGTCTGGACGGTTCAGTACGGATCAACACTTACGGAACGAAGCGTCGA